GCGCACAAAAGCACACACAAATACAAATAACAAAGCAGAGTTCACATATCAGTCATATCATAATTCCTTATATTATTCTGATCTGACCACAGGGAGAGAGGAACGCTGATCATAAATACCACAGAGCCCTATTTATGGCTGCAGCTAACCACCACAGTCCTGAGAGGAAGAGTGCATCCAAGGCAAGTCCGGCCAGTAAATAAGAGGCTTTCAGATCACTTGTATTAGCTGGCACTAATGGAAACCCTGAGGCTGAGCGAGGATGAGAGCTTCTGCCTCTGGAGGAGAAAGCCTTTTCTTAGAGAAACACTGAATATGCGTGAGCGGCTTGTGTGTATGTGGCTCTTTTTGTGACTCTGTGTGCGTCTGTATTTGTGTTCTGGGCAAGTCACTATGGAAAGGGCTGAACTTCCTAATGTATCTTATTTCAAGCCACAGCAATCAGTCGTGTCCACAAGAACACAGCCCAGAATTAATAAGAGAGGAAGGGGAGACGCACGGCCAGAGAAAACAGCCAGAAATGGGTGAAAGAGGGACAGAGAACATTTCAAAGGGTCCTTTTAAAAACACATTAGTCTATTAAATTAGTTTACAAAATATAATAACTGGTGGGTTCCAGTGTCGTCAGCTCACTAAAGAGGATTTAACAGTACCGATGTTTCCTTAAACACAGAGACAACATCATCATCCAAGTGAAAGTCACGACTAACCTGTGTTAAAAGGCAGAGAGTAAACAAAGGTACCAGGAACTTGTTCTGCCGCTCGCTTGTACCACAGGGGGAAGTGGTCGGCGTTGAACACCCCCTCTCGGTCTTCAGCTGTCAGAAAGTCTCTTAAAGCAGACGAGAAACAGAGGATATGAATGACGCACACAACGCACCAAATATACAAACTGGAATCGTAAACAACACTAAATTCAACACAAACATCAGGTCACGCACACACACATGCGTGCAGTCAGAAAACCTACTTGCTTGTAAGTTCATCTGGCACCACAAACAGGTTGATCCTGGACAGGCCTGTTCTCGTGCCCAGGTAAGCGATCTCCACTCCTTTATCAGAATTCCTGATGTGACAAACGAACATCCGGCTGATGTGAATTCATCTTAAGCCAAAGAAATCACCAGTAACTGCGCTAAATCATTAACATTTTAGCTGTGCAAATATGTGCTCCATATTATGGCATTTTAAAATCCAATATAAATAACAATTTCGGTTTCCTTTTATTTTAAATAAGGTGACATACTCTGACTTATTAAGCACGAGGCTGGTCCAGTAGGCTTCGAGTGGAGCCGTCACCACTGCATCAAAGAGAACTTCCTGAATCAGCTCCTTGTCACCTGACAGCACAAAGGCACATGTCCACACATGAATCTTGTTCATTAACCTGCTAATAACATATCAAATATGGCGGCTGTAAATGAGCATAACTAACAGTATAAGTGGGGTTCGTGCCCACTGAGGTACAGTTTAATTGCCTCTATCTGGCTCAGGTAGCGGTGCTCCGGGTGCTCGTCTGTGTTGCAGTATGTCCTGTAACATGACAAGAGAGAAAAATATGAGCATGTGTTAGAGTCACAACCAGCTTCAGATCAGGTCCTTTCTTCAAACTGTGATCGCTTCAGTTCTGGTCACATGATCCAGTTGCTTTCAGTTGCTTTTGGATGGCAAAGCATCTCCACTGAATAAAACCGGAGGTAGAAAGAAGACACTTCTTTTCATTTACAAGCATTAGTTTGAAAAGCATTTATTGTAATGTGTTTAGATGTTGGTTCCCAAGCCTGCAGACCACAAGTCATCAAGTGACACAAACAATCAAGTCAAAGTTCTGCAGAAACTGTTGTAGAGCTGTTGTACTTCAGTTGACATCAAATCGAACTCTGATTTATTTTTATGATTTGGCAGTGTTTTAGGATTTAGTCCAGTAAAGATGTCCTTTGAGTAAGGGACGGGGATAAAACAACGGCGGGAATGCTCTCACCATTCGTCTGCCAGGGCTACATCAGGATGCTCCAAGTCATGAAGTCCTGCAAAAAAGAAAACCTGAAAACTATTTGGTTCAAAACAAATACGCAAAAATACTCAATATGAAGTCATAATAATAGAGCTAGGCATCTCAGCTGCGCACACTTAAACACACACGGGATGAAAAATGTGTTTTTTGAATGGATGTGACAGCTCTGATTAGATCAGGAAGAGCCAAGTCATGCTCCGAGCGCTCTGCGTGATGGACATGTTTAGAGAAACACACAGACAGACACACACACCACCGCATGAATATTAACATGCATGGGGTCTGACATGAAAACAGACACACAAGCGGGAGCAGACACACAACACTGTCAGGAGAAGGACGCACAACACACCGAAGGAGCCGCAAAGGGGAATATTTAACTTCCTGTGAAGTTGTGGCTTTTTAAATACACAAATCACTGCATGAAGAGAAAGACTAGACAAAAGTTGTCTACAGGTGTGAAGAGGAGCTGGTTAAGTTGGGCCAAAGAGAAGTTAAAGACTTTACATACAGCTTATAAAACATGATGAATGTTTACTGATTTAATCAGATTATCTAATGTAAACTTCATGCAGTCATAAATGTTATTTTAACCTTCATGTAATATTAATCCCTTAACACAATAATCATGAGATTTGAACGTGCATAGTTAATGTCAGAATCCAGCTTTGTCTGCACAGATATCACCGAGGACGGAAAAGTTTTTCTTCTTGTTATTGTTTTTAAAAAAGGCCGTTTTATTGGTTCTGACTAATCACTCTGCAAAGAGACTTTTAGACCATTCCTAGAAAATTTAATCCAAATATATTTTTATTAAACATTTTTGTCTTAAAATAACTTTAGAAAGTGCATTTTTTGATTGTTCTTATGTGTTTTTATACAACAAAATAATAAAATAGTATTATTATAAAACTCTGTGATGCTGCATTTCCTGTAGTTCCTCAGAGAAGCATTTAAAAACTAAACTACCTGCTGAGTGCTTGTTTAATGAGAAACGGAAAAACAAAGGAGGATGAAGAAGAGGGATCGAGAGAGTGCGAGGGAGAGAAAAGTAGGAAAACAAAAATAAAAGTAACAACAAAAACAACAACACAGGAATGAGTCAGAAAGCCAAAAGGCTGATTTCCTACCTTCCTCTACTGTCACGTTCCCCCTGAAGAAAAACTTCCCATGGCCTCTGGAAAGAGCAACCCCTAGACTAAAACAAACAAACAAACAAACAAAAATAAACAAAAACCCCTAAAATAAAACAAACAAACATATTTCCTAAAAATCTGTTGTTGTTTACAGATTAACCACAGGAAGCTTCAGTCGTTAGCTTAAGGAAGTCTTCAGACTTCTTACCTGAAAGGAGTCCCTGTGATGTCGGTGTAGTAGTAATCATTGTGCAAAATCAGCACACGTTTCTGAAAGAGGTGAATACAGTCGTGCGTTAAACACCAGGCGGTGCTGTCTCATATCATTTCTTGCAGTCTAGCGCCATCTAGTGGTGGAAGTAGTAAAAGCTTCTGTTGGGCAGTCCTTAGCTGCAGATGGACATCAGTCCATTCTTAGAGTCTCTGGTGAGCGTCTCTGTCTCTCTATATAAATATAATTATATAGAGACGTGTGTGTGTGTGTGTGTGTGTGTGTGTGTGTGTGTGTGTGTGTGTGTGTGTGTCTGTATTTACATACCAAATACTTAATAATCAGCCTAATGCAAATCTCTCTTTAATATGCTGTGTGCGAACACACATTTAACACATTCACACATCTACACACATCTCTCGCTCTCTGACAGGCAGGAAGTAAAGCAGAATCAACGGGCTGCTGTTTCCCCGTATTCAGCAACATGTGCTTTGTGGAGATAAGGGGCTCACACGCAGAGACACACACCAGTGCATGCACAGCAAACCAAATCAGAGACAAAATCCCTAAGTCCGTCCTGTACATCACTGAGCCAGCTGTAACAACCCCTCAGCAGAGTCAATGCTTGCTGGGAAGTATTCTCTCTCGCTCAGCTCAGACTATCTGACAAGTGC